ACCAGGGTAGTGCTATTATAGTTATATAAAGGGAATCTTAAATGGATGTCCACTGGACGTCCGTTTATGCACATCCAATGTATATCTTTGTATGGACGTACAATGGACGATCTTATTATGTCCATGGACGTATGGTAGTAAAATGAACGTAAAACGGACGTCCATAAGATGTACGGTGCTATTTGGGTATTTTTCCTGCTGGTTTGCTTGCAATTTAGTAAATTACTAGGAATCCTGAATGCTGAGTGGTGCAATGATAGTAATTTACTAAATCGCAAGCAATCCAGCAGGAAAAATAGCATCGTCTGCAGCGGGCTTAACTTCCTTTATTATAGTACGCACAGAGTGCGAGAGCTCTCTGCACGGGCAACCGGAACTCACACACACTAAGGAGACAATATATATCGTAGACCTATATAGAGAAAAACAGTAGTACCAACTCGCTGTACGATCAAAATCAAAAGTGCTAAAGAAACTAAAGAGGATACAATAATCAGCGACATCTGTGTCACTTAAACGGGAACGGAAAGATTCAAAGGAACAAATATGGAGACTGCCCGATCAGTACATGTTTACCTTAATAAAGCTAAATTAAACTTAATTCTCAACACGGAATTTCTTCATATCAGGTCTTATCATATCCCTGAATCAAAATCCTGTACTTGCTTCGGCAGTACATATACCGTACCTTTCATATTTTTTGAGATATTTGCGTTGATTATTTAAAATAAGACACCCTGTATAATATTTTGTCTGCAGGACCTAGTCAGTGCTACGATAAAACTGATAAGAATTAAGTCTGTTACTTTACGGTCTTAGATATGCGGACATGAAGGCTTCCGTTGGATATCCATCGGATATCTGAGACCATTTTGGGATATCCAACGGATAATGCGATATCCCAAAATGATATCCATGAGATTTCCCACGGATAAAGTGTGCTGTGTGGGAATTATTTGTCAAAATTCGGATGGGTTATATTTTTATTTTCTTTACATATTCTCGCATATGTGCGAGATTAAAGGATCCCTATTAATCCCTATTAAATCGCGTGCGTATAATCTCAAATCGGACCTCTTATAAATCGCGTCGCGATTCTAACGACAGACTTGTAGATTTATTAACAAAAAGTTGAAACGCGGGTAGGTAGGAAAATGGATAAAACTATACAACGGAATACGGGTAGATAGGAATTATTCGGGTAGGCAGGGACAGGAGGACGTAACTCGGTAATTAAAAAGATAGATAAAATTATAACTGCAATGTATTACTATTAAATATAATTTTATTTACAATTGGATGCGTATAATAAGATGAAAATTGTTATGCGTTTGTTAAGTTTTACTTTAAATTTACTCAAAAGTTTGTTAGATTTGATTTACTTTTAAGAGATCGTTAATAAATACATTTGGGATATTTTTTATCCCAAACATGCAATATGTATACTAGAGCTGTTACTTTTCATAACTTCGAAGCTTCGAAAATTTATTCGTGCGAGTGACGAATTTCTCCGACGAACACTAAAAATATTGTAAATAAAAAATATTAATTTATATACAGGGTGTGTCCTAATACCCGCATCACCCGTAAATGGCATAGACCGGGGCAAACTGAATAGAAAAGTCCTATACCATTTTGCAAAATTCGCAATAGTTATCGAGAAATTAATTTTAATGTCTGAGAGAATGAGAGCTATATTTAACCCATATATTAACTGTTCTGTAAAGCAGATAATTTTCCATCATTTGTAAGTCCATACGCACACAAGAATATTGTGCTTTACAGAAATACGCAAACCCGATACAAATGTGTCCGATCGGGCCTGTGTCCGATGGAGCCTGTGTCCGATCGGGACTGTGTCCGACAGAATCTGTGTCCGATTGCAACCATATGTGTCCGATGTAAAATGTGTCCGATAGAATCTGTGTCCGATTGCAACCATATGTGTCCGATGCAAAATGTGTCCGATCGGGACTGTGTCCGATAGAATCTGTGTCCGATTGCAACCATATGTGTTCGATACAAAATGTGTCCGATCGGGAGTGTGTCCGATAGGAACGGTGTCTGATCGGGACTGTGTCCGATTGGGGCTGTGTCCGATCGGGACTGTGTCCGATCGAGAAATATTGCCGTGTCCGATCAGTTATGTGCGCAATCTGGACTCACTCCTTCACAACACTTTGGAATATAATTCCACAAAGTTGTAGTTATTTATATTCTTTTATCCCAGGGTCTTCAAAGTCGCTTCACACGTGTCGACTTGCGAAAGGGAAATAAACGGTGCGGTTAATTACGAGATTTAAGCGAGGAGCACACACTTTTGCATAAGTGCATAAGCATATGCATAACGAATTTGATTGATTCATTTCCTTATGCATTTGCATATAGACCAATCAAATTCGTTATGCATATGCTTATACATTTATGCAAAAGTATGTGCTCGCCGCTTTTGTCCGCGCGACTACACCCACAGAAAAGATTTCCAGATCCAATGCTATTATACTTGACTGTATCATAAAATAGGATCGATATAGAGCCAATCATATTTATTCTAGAGAAAGGAATATTTTATTCTTAAATGGAAAATTCTAAAATCTAGAATAAAATGATCTTGATGCTATCTGTCGTGTCTATTCGAGGTGTCTGGTAAGGCTTCGCTTGGAAAGGAAGGAACTCTTAATATGTGCTTATATATAACGACGTATATTTTCAATCGTACAGACAACTTATCGAACTACCATCGAGTCGATGATCTGACCCGCCTACTGTAGCGCCATCCTTTAACGTGCGCGAAATACGTCATTGGTCATAATAGTTCTCCCACGCTTATTAAATACTGCAGGTGGCTTATTTTATTACTTCTCGTAATCACGTAAATATTGTGGTCGTCTACGTGATCTATTTGAACGGCGTATTGGATCTGGATCTGGACTAAAGCCCGCTGCAGACGATGCTATTTTTCCTGCTGGATTGCTTGCAATTTAGTAAATTACTAGGAATCCTGAATGCTGAGTGGTGCAATGATAGTAATTTACTAAATCGCAAGCAATCCAGCAGGAAAAATAGCATCGTCTGCAGCGGGCTTTAATTGGGTTCCGCTCTGCTGCTGGTTCTGGAAGTCCGGCCTGGAGGTCGATCTGTTCTGGCTGATTGACTGGAACTCTGGTTAGATCCCCTAAATCTGGTTCTTTGTTATTCGAATTGTGATTTGGTTCATCCGAAGACTCTGGTGCAAATGATACGGATTTCTTTGGCTGGACATCCGTTGCGCGTAGTTGGTCAATGTGTCGTTTGAATGTATACCCATCATCCAATTTGATCAGGTAATGGAGTTGTCCGAATTTCTTGATGATCGTTCCGAGTTTCCATTGAGCTTTGTTGTTTGCATAATAGCGTGCTTGTACACGTTCTCCCACGCTTAATTGCCGTGTTGTAAGTTTTGAAGGTGTGGATGCTTGAAATTTGACAGGTTTAAGTGCGTCTAGTTGAATACGAATTTGTCGCTGTAAGTATTGTTCTGCAGGTGTTTTCCCATTACTTAAGGGTGTTGCTCGATATCGAAAAAGTATTTCTTGGACTTTATGTTGAATTGATAGTGGTTCGTCGATCATGGCTTTGAGTCTATTTTTGAATATTTGAACATTCCTTTCCGCTAATCCGTTTGTTGCAGGCTGGCCTGGGGCAATGAATTTCTGAAATATACCTGCTTTTTGGCAAAATTCCTTTAATTCCTCACTTGTAAAGATTGTTGCGTTATCTGATACCATAACATCTGGGAATCCATGGCGTGAGAAGACGTCTTTAAATTTTTCAATTGTTGATGCTGTTGAAGGTGCCGATGGACATATCTCAATTTCTGTCCATTTTGACTTAGCGTCGACGATAATTAAGAAGTAGTGGCCTTGAAAAGGGCCAGCGTAATCGACGTGTATGCGCTGCCAATTATTCTCTGGTTCCTCCCACGGGTGTAGCGGCGCTTTGACTGGGCTGTTTTTAATATTCACACATGCTGGACATGAGCGAACTAAACGCTCGATGTCTTTGTCAATTAATTTCCAGTAAACGTAACGGCGTGCCAGTTGCTTCATCTTTACAATTCCAATGTGTGTACGGTGGAGTTCTTGTAATACTGAAGATCGTAGTGTGGCTGGAATGACGACACGTTGTCCTCTGAATACAATGTCGTTGTCAATTGTGAAATCGGATTCTGCATTATTATTTTTACGTAGTTCCTGAAGAATTTTGGAAAGATCCTCATCCTTCTGCGTCTCATTACGGATTGATTGAAACGTTAGTTCCG